TGTAAAAACAAGTAAAAGAACGGCAAAAATATGCCCAAGAACCAAAAGCAACGTACCAGTAGAACCACAGAGTACTTGTATAGACACTTGTTGACAAATTGAGGTAAACTTAGCTTGCAAAACGGCGAAAACGACCAATTCGGAAGGAGCTCAGCTCAAACACGTATGTATGCAAATACATACATACATACATACATACATACATACATACATACAGACATACACACACACACATACACACACACAGACACACTAACTGCAAAGACTCCCATTATGTGCTTCGCACATGGGAGTCAAAAACAAAAAATATTATTTCTTGTTTTATTTATTTTGTCACCACTACACAGCGCCCTCTGTTTATGAATTGATTAAAACGTCTAAAATGTGTGCGGCAAAATAAAAATAAAACAAAAAAATTGAAAAACAATTTGACCTTAAATATTTTTTTTTACCATACCTATTATCCCTCATTTGTGTAATCTGTCTGTCGCTATTAGCCCTGAGTACAGTCCTGTAGGTTGGCCTCTTTCCGCTGATAATTTGGCCCCCACTTTGTGGAAGTGCTAGATTTGCGTAAAATAAATGCAGTATATCTACCTGTTCATTATACGTTTGGCTTTTTCACATTTCCTATCACAGATTTGAAGGATTTCGTTGGCAGGATTTGTCGTTTTTAGAGTTTTCCGACATTCTATCTGCAATTCGTCCACTTTTAACATGAGCTTCGGCAAATGACCGGTCATTACGTCGTCAGTAAATTCAGCCATAGCAGTTAGAACGACTTCCCCGCAAAATGTCCCACCCACTTCCGTGTTGTGATGCGATCAGCTGATCGTAGTTGCGCCAAACAAGCGTTGTGGTATTCTTACAACAAATTTCGACCAATTTTTGAGCAAGAAAGTGAATATTTAGAATCGAATTCTCATTCTCAACTACATTTGTTATACTTTTATATGTGCCACTTAATTAAAAGAAATAACTTAAAATTTGTTTAATCAACTGGCGCGATTTGTGTGTTTATTCAATGCGAGCGTTGTTCTACAAATCAATCACTCAGTTTAATCTCGTTAATCTCGACTTTTCACATTTCGCTGGTTCCCGGCGTCCTTTGCGAATGGAACCTGCCAACTTTTCACCTGAGGTGAACTTTCTATTGTCGCCCGTTTCACATGTAATGCAGACGAACCTGAATCATGTCTTTAAAATTTTCTGCAAATCTTGCAGTATTTTTTTGTTTAGAGAATTTCCAAGTTTAGGTGCTCGTTATTCAGCGGCTAAAGCAGCTGGTTTCCACGCCGTCGAATCCTACCCTTATGCAGTGTCTGTGGAGGAGCTCGTTGCCGTGAAACAAGAAGAAAAGCTGGAGCAAGTGTTGATAAACTCACCTATGGGTATGACATTGACTGTAAATAAATTCACATT